AGGAATTAGCATATTTAAACAACTTTAATGATATACTTTGTTCTGCAATATAGATTTCCATGCTAAGTTTGTTCATCATGCAACAATCATGGTTTTTAAAGAGTGCATAGTTATTTGTTTTTACGATTTAGAAATAATGATTTATGCATCATGCTAAGCCAATCCATCACCCAATAACTTACTAGAATATTGTATGAACTTGAACATTGTTATTTGTGTTTCATCAATGTGCTACTTGGTACTGGCAGTTCTCTACAATTCTTCTGTCTAGCATGTCATGTTCTTAGATAAACTGAGCCAATCTCCTTTTTGCCCTTTTCCTTTCTATCATACTCATATTGAGTTGCTAGCTATGTTTAGCTTTTTCCATAAAAAAATATAGACCTTGGTTTTCTCTTATCAGTATGATGCCTGAGTACTTTGTTATATTTTCTTGGCCATTATATTATACATTCTTACATTAGAGCTTACGGCTGAATTGATATCTATAGCAGTGATGGCGAATCTTTTAGACACCGAGTACCCAAAAATCGCCCCACCCCCCACCCTCCCCTGCCCACCCCACCCCCACTCTGCTCCCTGCCCTGCCCCCTGCCCCACCACCCGCAGGGCCACCTATCACCTCCACAGCCCACCACAGATCGCCCTGGTGGCCCTGCAACACCATAGTGGCCATGCCCTCCGCCCGCGCCCCACAGCATCATCTGCATGCGATGGGGCACGAGGGCGAAGTCTTGTCCCTACTGCCCAGCTCCCATGCCCTTGACTGTGCTGCTCCGTGTGGGCTGCACCTGGGGGCGACTCTCCTCCAGAAGGGCTGCTGGTGAGGAGGGTCTAAGGGGGGGAGGCAGTCCTGGGGCGACAGCGTGCGTGCCCACAGAAAGGGCTCTGAGTGCCGCCTCTGGCACGCATGTCATAGGTTCGCCACCACTGATCTATAAGATCACACCATATAACATCTATAAAAACAGAATTTTGAAATCTAAATTCTAGCCTATAATTCCATAGTTTTGCGTTTAATGCTACTAAACATCTTGCATAAATAATGACAGTATAATCAGTTAAATCAATGTGAATAAAACTATGATTAATATAAGAAATAAACCATATGCAATGGGTCACCTTTGGTAAAAACATAAAACAATTCTATGAATTAAAATCTATGTACCTATTGAGATTTTGTAATCAATTTTAAATATGCTAACTCATAAATTAATTGAATGAGGCTTGTTATTAGCAAGACTGTTATTTGTTAATCTTTCACTCTTTTTTGTATTTAACAATTAAGTATGTCATCTGCCCTGGGAAGCAGACAACGATCTAATGTCAGCAGCAACTTACTAGTGTTCCCATACAATATATATTTTAAAATAAACAAAAATGAAATAGGTGTTTTATTGTGTATTACACAAAATTATACTGGTATATAAAATCAAGTATAAAGAATAAGTGATTTTTTTTTCATTTTTGTTTAGAGAGCTTCTTAGAATAACAGAATTAGGCAAATGGATTCAAATGCCTTACAAACCACAATATACAATCAGTTATCTTTGGCCTAATAGGGTACAAATTGTCATTTTCAGATTTATAAATTCCGTCTCCAGTTTTATGTTTGATGTCTCCAGAAGATGAAATTCCTAAGCCAGAAACAGTCTGTTCTACAGATTGTCTGCTCATCAATAATTCAGGACTATAGACTAAAAAGAAAAGTATTGTACATAAGCACAACAGAAATGAAATCTTTTAAAACTCCTGCTTGATCTGCTTGACTTGCAGGAGAAATCAGCTATTACAAACTGAACCCTTTTTGTTTTGAGTAGTGAGAAAATAAACAAAAAGATTTAGAATATACTAATAAATAAATGCCTGTATGTCTCTCCCATCTTTGTTCTTAAAACAGTATGAATTATTTAATAAATACTATTCAATATGAGTAATTTGAATTACAAATTAGAACCTTTCAAATATTTAAAGAAACCAATTTGTAAATATACTACAAAATATTATCCTCAATTTCTTCTTCATGGCCAACAATATTCCAATAGATAATGACAAGAATTTAGAAATCTAGGGGACTTCCGGTGGATCTGCGCGTGCGATGGCGGCTACTTTGTAGCGTCCTCCTGGGAAAGTGTTAGAACCGCTATGAACAGCAGACATGAGCTGTTCTGCGGTTCAAAATCTCCCTCCCGGGCAAAGGGAGGGAGAAGAGTATCATCTGAATAGTGGTAGAGCCTCTTATGCACCCCAAGGAGTTCGGATTGTCTGCTCTTCCCAGCTGTTTTTGTCTCTAGGGACAAAACAAGCCGCTGCAACCACCTCCGCGATTAAAGTGATCTGGTGAGTTTTCTTAAAAAAGCGGACAGAGCTGAGTAGAGGATTTTGTTTTTTCCGATCTTATTTGGATTTTAGATTTAAAGATTTACTTTTATTCCCTCTTTTTGTTTTCTTCTTTGGTTGAAAGGGAAAGTAAAATGGCGATCGGTAGGCTTTTTGGTGTTTTTTTTTTTTGGACTGGAACGGAACAGAATGGAACGGATTTGATTATTTATAATGATTTTTTGATGTTGGGTTTGGATTTTAGGAGGATTACTTTCCCTTTCTGTTTAACTTTTTTTTATTTCTTGAAGGATTTTTTTTGTTTTTTGTACTTTAAAAAAAAACAGAACGGATTTTTTTTATTTAATTATTTTTTTCTCTTTTCTTTTCCTTCTTTTTCTTAACTTTTTTTATTATAATGATCTCCTTTTGAAGGAGTTTTTGATTTATTGGAGTTAATCTCTCTTTTTTTGCTTAATTTTTCTTTTCCCTTTTTTGGGGGTAATTTTTAAGAAGGAGTAAAGATTTTCTAAGATGGCTCCAAAGCGTCCAGTAATTCCCACAGCTCCTAAGGTGGTTTCTTCTTCAGTGATATCATCAGTGCAACAATCTAAATTAATAGCTTCACCCTCTCCTTTGGCACAGTTATTAACGGTAAAGGATTTGCAAGATATAATGGGAAATGCTATATCTCAAATCAGGGGAGAAGTGAAAGAGATTTTAGTGGAAAATAATAGGAGGCAAGATATAGTTTTGGCTTTAAAAGGAGTTGCCTCTGTTCTTGAAAAGCTGAATTTTCGTGTAGAAGAGGTTGCAGACAAACTGGAGCTGTTGGAGGGAAAATTTGAAGGCATGGAAAAAGAGATGGAAAATTTTCAAATGAGATTCTTATGCTTCAATATAGAGAAATGGAATATGCTTTAAGAATTAGAGGCTTGAGAGAGTCTCTGCAAGGAGTTCTGAGAGAGATGGTGGCAAATGACTTTGCTGTGATTTTGGATAGAAAAAAAGAGGAAATATTTAGTGAAATTGAAAAAACATTTAGAGTTAACTCTGTGGTGGCAAAGCAAAGAAAACTGCCAAGAGATGTAGTAATTTATTTTGGGAAAAGATCCCTGCGTAACGAAATTATACAAGCTTTTTACAATAAGAGGTTTCAGATTGCTTCATAAGACGTTATAATTTTAAAGGAGAGCCCATCTAAAATTTTAAGAAGAAGAAAGGAGTTTGCTTTTTTAGCAGATGAACTTAAAAAGAGGCAAATGTTGTTCAGATGGGATGTCCCGACTGGAATGGTGGTGAATTATCTGGGGACATGTTATAGACTTAATACTGTTTTCAAAGCAAAAGAGTTTTACACTTCGGTCCTGGGGGTATGTTTATCGCCACCTATTATGTCTAAAGCTTCGGAAGAGAAGGTGGCAGAATTGCAGTCTGAAGAGCCTATATTGATGAAAATTGCGAAATTTCAGACTGAAGGGCCTCAACAAGTTGAGATGAAGGAGCAGAGGATAACCTGTGTAACACATAAACGCAAAGAAAAGGAGCAACAGAAGAAGGAGGTTAAGGAAGCCTCACAAGTATTGGTTTCTGAGTCTGCGGGAGAAGCAAGATTTATAAACTTTTTGGAGCAACCTTTAAGGGCAGATTTCCAAGCACTTCTCTCGAGGTTTTTGGACAAGAGAGATTGATAAAGAATGTATAGATTGTTTTCAGGTTATTGATAGATTACAGTTCACTGTGGATGGAATTGGTTATTGGTAAAGAGGAGAGAATATTATGGAGATCGAATGAAAATTTTAGATAAGAAATTTAAGTTTAGCAATTTAAGGAGTATTCAAAAGAGTATCTTGTTTTAATGGTATAACTAATGTTCATATGTTTATTTTCGTGTTGGATGATAAAGAAAGAGGGAGAGATTAGATTCTATATAATATAAGTATGATATTATGGAGATTGAATGAAAATTTTAGATAGGTAGTGCATGTTTAGATATCTAAGGAGTATTTAAAGGAATATTTTGCTTTAAATATGTATAAGAGAATTTTAATGTTATAAGTAATGTTTATATGTGTGTTTTTGAGGGTCTTTATAAAGGATGATGGATAAATTTTAAATAATATAAATATGACATTAGAAAATGTTTAGAGTATTTTATAATGTGTCTAATGATTGTAATCATAATTTTTTTTGCTTTTTATATATTGGTCTTAAAGTATTTTATAATTTGTTTAATTATTGTAATTAATTGTTTATGGTGTTTAAATTTTTTTCTTTTAAGTTTTAACTAAGCCTGTACTCAGCTCTGGGAAGGTTGGGGGAGGGTTGGGGTAGGTTGGGAGGATTTGGGCAGGGGAATTTATTTTTTTTTGTAAAATTTTAAAAATTTTCAATAAAAAAAAAGAATTTAGAAATCTAAATAGGCAAAATTAAAGACTAGCAAACCTCTTCAAAACTAAGTTTCTTCAAAACTAAGTTCTCTCTATGTCTGTTCTTATTATTCTTTGTTTGTCATATCAAAATTTAAGACTATGAATGCTAGTGTTGCAGGAAGGACTAATCAAATTTTAAACTCTCAGGTTAGATGCTTAAAGTATTTAGTCTCTTTCTAGACACAACAGATCCCTATTTTTCATTGAAAACTCAAAAGAAACCTTTTATGTTCTGTTTTAATCACTTACCTTGGAGTCTCTGCATCACTCCAGCAATATCCCGGGATGTTCTTCCTCCTAATCTTGAGGATGCCATTGCGCCACGTGGCAACGGTGTTGTTTTTTTCTGCATGATTGTCTATCTGAAGTGCAACGTTTCAACAGTTCTCTTTATAAAGCATCATTAGTTGCAGAATGGCACGCCATAGCAAGTCATGGCAGCTTTAAATGGTAGGCATATAACTGTCTGGCTTGCCACTGTTTTAGGACTGTTCTCATTCAATTGCTTGCAATTCAGGCCTGAAAAGATATAGAAATACACAAGAAAGTTTGAGAGAACACCTGTACTTTGGTATTAAAAACACCTCCTCTTACTTTCACTGGATCAGATATTTAGAAATCTGATTGATTGGCTACCATGTGACTAATGATTTAATACTATGAATTGCATTGGTAAAATAGAACAAGAAATCACGCCCTATATCAACACTAAGATTTACAAATTTTTGTGAGCTAATATGTTTGAGCAAACCTTAGAATTCACATTAATGCAACACAGTCGGTTAAAATGTGAAGTTTAATGTTATTACTGCAGAAAGGTTTAAGTGGTTAGAAAATGAATATACTAGAACACACTATTTAATGGAGATCTCAATTATTTTGAGATTGCAATCCAGGCTACTGTAACAACAATACCAACACATTTTGTAGCTTAAACAATATTTATTTGTTTCCAAAAAGTGATCGATGCTTACACATTTTCACAGAAAATTTGTTATGGTCTGAAATACTAGGTTGTTTACTTAGGAAACTCTCCTGGTTTCCTATCCTAGGTGAGATGAGACCTAGCAGAGATACTGAACAAATGCCTCATAAAAATCAATATAATGATGCTAGAAGAAAACAAGTTCCTTCGAAAAGGTTCACAGGTTATAAATGTCTTCATTCGCTTTACAATTTCACATGCTTTTACCACATATTTGCTAGCCTTAGGGAAGTGGTAGGACTATCAGGTAAGGAGTGTGGGGGAGCTGGAGAGGAATGGAGGAACCTGGGGAAGGCTAGGGAGCCTGACACAGCCTGCATGCAAACTCAGGGAGGCCATGGAAGACCTGATGCAGGTCGTTCATGAGTCGAGGGAGGGCTACTAGAGGTTGCACACAGACCGGAGAATGCTACAGGCAGAAGTGATCCTGGAGCGATTTGCAATCATCACTGCTGGCTTCCCCATTGATTTTGCTTGTGAGAAGCCAGCAGGGAAGATTGTCAGTGGCAATCTTGTGACTGTAGTTCTTTGCAAAGTTGTAACCGTGAGCCTGTCACCTGAGCACCCAGATTGCAATTGCGTGACCCTGCCCCCCACTAGAGCTGCAAATAGCCAGAAAGTTGAGAACTGGTCATTTTTTCAGCGCTGCTATGCAGATAGTCCATGACTAACGACCACAACTGAGCCCAAAATTTATGTTGCTAAGCGAGACATTTGCTAAGTGAATTTTGCCCCATTTAGCAACCTTTCTTGCCACAGTTTTTCAGTGAATCATTGCAGTTGTTAAATTAGTAACGCGGTTAAGTGGATCTGGTTTTCCCATTGACTTTGCTTGTCAGAAAGTTGCAAAAGGGGATCACATGACCCCGGGACACTGCAGCCGTCATAAATATGAACCGGTTGCCAAGCATCCAAATTTTTACCACATGACCGTGGGGATGCTGCAACGGTCATAATGTGAAAAACAGTCATAAGTCACTTTTTTCAGTGCTGTTGTAACTTTGAATGGTCACTGAATGAACCGTTGTATGACAAGGACTACCTGTAATTTTGATCAGGCACTGAAAAATGGATACAATTTGAAGATTACCTGTATTTATTTACTTTATTAAGATGAGCTGTTGATAGTTAATTTTTTTCAAGTTTATCCACTTTACTCAAGTGTACTAAGGGTCTTTACCACCTGCTACTACGGGTCTTCCCCACCCACCTCCTTTCTCTCAATCAACAGAAAACTGTACTGGTATGAAACTGCTGACTTCCATGTTTATTTCTATCCAGCCTCCACTGTCTTTGTTGCTAATCACTGCTTAGTCCTGCTAGCAAAGCTGAACTGATTAACACCTTATGGCTGGTTAAAACAGTTTAAGGAAGGGCTGAAAGGGCAGTGCCTTTGTTAGATACTACATTTATAGCAATACTACTAAGAACGACTTAAGATTAACTCACTTATGGGCTGCGGATAAGATGAGGGCAATTGTGAAAACAAGACAGAAAATAAACTTTTTCAGGACACAATTGTGCCAGCATTACGTACAAACAACAACAACAACAACAACAACAACAACAGAATTGGAATGGATGTTGGAGGTCTTCCTGTCCAACCCCTGCTCAGGCAGGAAACCCTATATACCATTTCAGACAAATGGTTGTCCAGTCTCTTCTTAAAAACTTGGAAATTACCAGGACATTATAAATTTATATTTAGTCTTGTTTATATTATTTTATTTGATACAAAATACAACTGATTTTATAAGATGAAATATTGCATATACATGTGGCCAATTCTGTATGGTACATAAACTCCTACAGTACTTTAAAGCTACTCATTAGAAGAGTCACAGGTAATTAGAATATCAGATCTAATGTTAACTAATCCAACTCCTTGTTCAATGCAAAAATCTACTAAACCATCTCCAACAGGTGGAAATCTCCAACAGACAAGATTTTATCTCAGGGATTTCTTGAGTCAGCTGAAGTATTCAATTTCAACTCCTTTGACTGGTCTAGCCTTCTATTTCAAGAGAAAACAGGTCTACAACCTCTTGCACATGACATTTTCTATTTTGCAAGTTAAAGAATATTTTTATAGGATTTTGGTTTTTGGTTTTTTTGCATGATAAACTCTAGCTCTTTGATGATTCTTCATAGGGCTTAGATCTATTCCAGCTATCAATCTGGTATCCTGTGAACCATCTTTAGATTTTATATATCCCTTTTAAAGGGTAACGCCCGTAAGAGGACATAATTTATTTTTATTTATTTATTCATCAAATTTATATAGCCGTCCATCTCACCAAAACCGACTCTGGACAGTGCACAACAATGAATACTGCTCCATTCATTGCTACCTAAACCCTTTAAAATATAAGGAAACTGTATGAGATAGTTAGCCACCTAACTCTTGAGTATACAAATAAAGCAACCAAGGAAATTATACTGTAAATTGCTGCCCATTAGCTGGACTCAGTGTTTCTGATACACTGCATTGCAGCACATAGCCCTTTTCAATTACTGTGTAATTCTATTCATTCATGTTCAGCAGATGGTCAGCTAAAACCCCTAGATCCCCCCTTCACAGCCAGGTTTCCCCAATCCTGTGTCCATGTATTTGACTTTTCCTGCTGCCTGATCTTACACCTAATATAACTGAGTATCATCCTGTTTGGATATGGCCCAATGTTCAAGACTGTAGGGGTCATTTTGAATCATGATTTTGTCCTCTAAACAGTTATTGCTTGGCATCATCTGCAAAATTCATAAATATTTCATCTTCTAGGTCATTTAGAAAGTTGCTGAACCACACAGATTGATAGGCCATTTACAAGCACCTTCTGGGTACGCTCCAGCCTACATTTATACATCCTATCCTCAAAAATATCATGAGGTACTTTGTCAAACACTTTACAGGTAGTCCTCATTTAACGATCACTTGAAGTGAATGAGTGGCTGCAATGGCCCCGTTGGAGCTGGTTGGTAGGAGGAATTGGAACCAAGACAGGGATGGCATGTCTCTCCAGGGACATCCGGAGAGCCCAGGGGCTGAGGATGATGCAATGCCAGGCCTGTCTGGCATTGGGGGAAGTACTCGACCAGACGGGGAGCCACCTGCTTTAATGAAAACAGGGGAGAATTGGCTACCAACAATCAGCAGTGAGAAAAGGCAACAGATCACCTCCAATGAGGAACAGTTACCTCCCTCACCAGATATGCAGGCTTAGAGAGCAAAGCAGAAGCACAGAGGAAGCAGCCCTGCCCCTCCACACAAGGAACATCTGGTTAGGTTTGGGGTGACTTAGCCAGATGCAGGGGGAAGCTGCATTTGTCAGGAACAACCATTTGCTTTAGCATGCGTGAATTACAAAATGTGCTTTGTGGACTCTGAACCTTGTTTGCAGACTTCACTTTGTGGACTCTGAACCTTGTTTGCAGAGTCCACTTGTTTTATGGACTCTGAACCTTGTTTGTGGATTCAAGACTTCCTCTTTGCCTTGTGGATCAGCTCTGGCAGCTACTAGACATAGATTGTGGGACAGGGTTGCACTAACTGTGGATGGCTGCCTTTGGAGAAAGTTGGGGTGGAGCTTTACCAGCACCATTGGAGGGCCATCTATCACTATATAGCTGTGCAATAAACAGACTGTATTGGTACCTGCACCTGCCAGCATGACTCAGGTCAGAACAGTGGTATTTACAACTAGTTCTGGCCATCCAAGCCCTCCCACAGTCCTGATTGTGATTCAGATGCTTGGCAACTAGCTTGCACTTATGACAGTGGCAGTAACCCACAATCATATGATTACCATTGTGATTTTCACTGTTGGTTTCCCAGAAGCAAAGCCAGTGGGAAAGCCAGCAGGGAAAGTCATAAGATGCTCTAGTAAGTCACTTATACCCTACTCAGCAACAGCCACTAATAGCCTTGCCACACTTGTACCTGTCATGATCTAGGGATCAAATAATCATATAGTTCATATAGTTATGAAAAAGGTGCTGGAACAGGACCTCTAAAATGTCAGCCTCAAGAGACACAAAGCCAAGAGGCTGATCAAACATAGGCCTCACCTGAGCAGCTGGAGAAGATGTTTAAGATGATGTAAGCCCTCCCAGCCCCACCCTAGGCAAGTAGAGAGAACAGGAAATCAGACATTTTCTATGAAGGTCCTTGACAAACAAGTAAATATATCTCTTGATTAGTAACAGCTGGTTGCAGATTGATTTAAGAGGCAGTCTTGACCCATGATCCCTCATTGAAAGTAACTGTCTAATCTCTGGCTATTGTATGTGATGTTTGTTTGGAGTCTGTGGTATTCCAGATGAAAACTTTAACTAGGCTCTCTGAATCTTGGACTGGATTTTGCGCATTTTTCTGCACACTCCTGTTAAATGCAACCTTTCAGGGAAGCTCTTTTTAGAGACTCTGTTTTGGTTTCCATTCCTTGTCTGCTGCTATCTCTGTGACCTTGAATAAACTACTAATTACCATAGCAACTGTGTGTGTGAGCTTGCACGCATTTGAAACCAGAAGCTGGAT